TTTGACACAAAGATTCAAGATCATTTTGATGCCTTTTATAATCTTGTCATTGATTTTTAAAAATCTTGCAAAACTAATAGATGATGAAAAGAACATACTTTCTTTTTCACCATCATTACTTGCTTTTTTAAAGTCATTGTTTTCTGTATTGCTTTACTCCGATAAATGAACAATCATATAAAACAAAATGGTACGTAATTTTGATGACTTATGATTTAAAACAAACAATTATAATTACATCTCCTACATATATTTAATCAAATACTAAAATAAATGCTATTTGATATCAATCTTATTTACAAAAGATAATGTATGAGTAGTAGTTTGGATCTAGTAATCTAAAAAAAACTCACAAAAATTGTATAACACTAGAAAAAATTCATTTGAAGATAAAACACAATATTTGAAGATAAGAAAAACATAAAACAAAATTTTTATTCCTTATATCTATCTTACAATCAAATACAAGGAGATTATGTTTCACCTCATCATTCATTTCATTTTCAGTGAGTTGATGATGTAGTGAATAAACAAACAAACACACATATGGTTGATGTATCGTTGATTCTATGATATTTCTATATGTTGTTTGTGAAATGTCAAACCTCAAATTTTTTTGAATTCTCACCTTGTAGTGCTTTCATGATTTTTTCATACTCCAAATAGAATCATATCATTTTAAAAGCGGAACATGTTACATAACATATTTCAAATAGTACTTATGATCATTCAAGATCTTTCTATACATGTAAAAATCTTTTAAATAACACTTAAAAATTATCTAAATAAGTATAATAATAATTATTCATCAATTTTATGACTATAAAATTTATATAAGAAAAAAATATTAAAAAATAATCTTAAATCTAAACCTATCTTCACATATTTTTCAATACATGACTCTTTATCATATTTTATTTCTAATCTACCCAATTATTGTATTGATTTATATTTGACATTACTGAAATGACATCATAGTGAGCTAAATAAATTATACCACATTTACTCTTTCCGTATATCTACTTATCAAATAATTCTACATTTTGTGAAATTGTCTCTATTCATTAAGTTTGACATTTGATTACTTTCATTTTTTCCATTTTACTTATTTTTTTCATCAACATCAATGCTAATTTCATTGCAATATTTTATACCATGAATTATTTTTTTCCAAGATCAATGAAAGCTTTTAAATTATGTATTTTCATCATGTTATCTATGACAATAAGTTGAACTCGTTTTTTCTCCTTCAATGAACTTCACACCATTTTTTTCTTCCAATCTCGCCTTTCCTCTTGTTTTTTAGAAATCAATAAGGTCAGGAAGCAGTTTTACTAATACATTTTTTTTAAAATTACTTAATTTCTTTTAACTGTGTTTTACATCCTTTATGTTGTTATAAGGTTTTTGTTTCATCGATTTTTATTCTTGTAGTCCTGATCAAAAATTGACAATGTGAATTATACATCCGCATGCATAAACCTAATGATTGTCACAATCTCCGTTCTTACTCAAGTCATTTCATTATTTGCATTTTTTCTTGCAAATTTGCAATCAAAATTGTCAAATCTCTTTTGCAAATCCTGATGTTGATACTTGTAAAATGCATAATCTTCTATATGTCAAAGATTTTTTTAATTTCATTGATGTTAAACAGATGAATTTTAAATTTAGTTTAATTATACAAAATGTTTAGTTTCTTGAACATTTGAAATTTGCTGAGCAACTAGAATTACTTCATTGATTGTGGATGAATTGCCTATAATTACTTTTTTATGTATTTGATTTTTTTTATATGATACATTTTTTAATATGATAAACTCTTACCCATGAGTCAAAACTCATCAATAATTCTGTGTTAAATGAAAACATAGATATGTAATGTATTCATCCTCATGAATGAATACTTTAAAATCTCCATAACTCTATTTTTAAATACTTTTAATTTACATAAATTTTTCATTCAAAGAAAAAGATTGAGTTGATCATAATTTTCTTCAAATTTTCTTACAATTGTCTTTGCATTATCAATAAGAATAGTATTTTCTTTCTACTATTTCACTTTTTTTAGAAAAAATCTTGTCTTCTATGATTGATTGCTTTGCATTTTTTTGAATTATAATCAACTCTTTCATCTTAGTGATGATTTCATTTAGTACCTCAACCATATCAAATGATATTTTATGTTTTTTCATTGAATTTAATACAAGATAAGTATGGTGATAATATAAAATTTTAATAAAGCAATCAAAAAAGCTAAAAGTAATTTTATATAACTTTTATCATTTATCTCTTAGAATAAATCTATAATATATTTCATCAAATTTTTTCACAAAAAATTCTCCATGCAAAAATAATCTTTGTCAAGATATTGTCATAATTCTTAAATAAATGTTGAATCAATTGAAACGAATGATTTATGATTCAAATCTATCAAATAATTGGTATAATTTAAAAATTTCAGATTTTCAATTTGAAAGAAGAAGTTGGAAAAGATTTTCAGCCTTATGGTTTGCTATGATGTAAGACTTATGACTTATGCAACTTATTTAAGAATGTTGATGATGTATGAAATGTCAATAATGATTATTCTTCTCAAATTTGTTAGATGAGAGAATTTTTTATATTCCAAATATATAATCATTTTGTTTTTACAAGAAATGATAAATCATGTAGAATTAAACGTATTATTAGAATTAAATTTTTGATGGAGTTTATGATTAATAATATATTTTATTATTTCTTCAAATTTCATTATACATGTGAAAATGTGTGAGGATTTGTGTTCTGTACAATCTTGTTTATAAATCACACAAAATAAATCACCAATTTTGATTTTAGATACTTGAATATATCTTAATATATAGACACATATGTAGACAAAAAAAAATGTAGAAAAGTTAACATAAATATAAGACAGTAGTATGATTATAATATCAGTAGCAAGAGTTCATAAAACTATTATAGTTTCATTGAGAATTTTTCATTAAAAGATAGGGAAGCATGCACAATCATCACATCATTTTTGAAAATTATATTGGAATGTAAAGTAGATCTTGAATGTTTCAACTAACTTTTTTTTGAAAGAAGGAGGCTTGCAAAAGAGCAAAGTCCTTGATTTGCAGTGATAATTATAGATAATCAACAATGATACTTGAATCTATTCCACTCTTAAATGAAGGATTTCTAGATAAGCAGGTGAAACTATCTTATAGTTGCAACAAGTCTGGAATAATATTATAAAACTTCAAGAATGCAATCATGTTCAATTATTTTCTTAGAAACTTATCCATTTTTCATTTTGTATCCTCAAACTTCATCACTGTCTTTTGGCATAGAGGAAAATGACATGAAGGAAAACACTTGATACTTCATAAATAAGTATAGCTCACACCCTTGTTGAACCCCCAAGACCAAGGCCTGAATAAAAAATAATGATCATAGTTATGATACTCAAGTACTACCTGCCTCACACTATCACTTCGATAAACCTGTGTGTCGGACTCTTCGCCGAGAGTATTTTCATACTACAATTAGTAAGTTTGGTTGGAAATATCATTAATTTACTTACTCTCTGATCTAAATCAAAAAATCCATCTCAATCGATAAATTTGACTAAAACAACAATTTTTGATCTGTCAACTTGATGAGGTGTAGGCCTTGTCATCATCCTCTCAATTTTGCAATAGCAAGTACTTGTCACTTAAGACAATCTCTAGCAACTTACCTACTTCTCAATCCTAAGTAGATAATCATAATGCTAGTTAATTCACATACTAAAACCATACCAAGATCAGCAACTATCCATGTGGATGATTTTAAATCTAGGGGGATTGTATCAACCTCAAGTTCTACTATCATTGTTCTAAGAGGTTGCTTGGGCTCAAGTTCTACTCTGGTCTAAGAGGTTGCTTGGTGGTTTTGATGTCAAACTTGCTTGTGGGCCTTGTTAGTTGGGGATTAGATTTGACTTACCTATAAGACATGTTTCTTTCCCTGTCATAAATCAGTTGCCAAGTTTGGCACTTTGGTCAGCTTTCTTGGCTTCGAAATGTCTTTCTCCCCTCACTATCACTAGCTTGCCTTTTCTAGCAAGATAGTATTGAACTGTTGTTGGACTTGTTATGTTTTGTAAGTGGTTGATTATTTTCTTTACTTTCAAAGGAGGCAAGCTTCTGCATAAGTGAGGACTAGGTTAGAATAATCATGTGGATCAATGTAACTTCACTGCCGTTTGACTACTTACTTGCAGTTTGTGTATGAGTACCCAGTGGTTGTGTGGCATTATTTTATTTTACTTCCGAACAGAGGAGGAGAAGATGAGCAATTGCCCATCTTTACTGGGTTGGTAGGGTAGCTTCAGAAGTCAAATTTTGTTTCGTTTCCAGTCATACGGCCTCGTCTAATGTAAGACTGTATTCGAGGATCATTTGGGAGCGATCACTCCGCATCTCAAAGTGGGTTTTTGGGAAATCTCCTTGACCATGGGGCGGTGATTCTCCTTCAACACATCGGCTACAATAATTTGCTGCTTCGGAGTACGGTGCTGATTAGTGATTGTGTCTGACTCTTCCTTCTACGAGTTGCTACTCTTTGTGAGTAAATCAGTATGGGCCGAAGTATTATTGTTTATTTCAATTTTCAACAGTGTTGGAAACAAATCTCACTTGAGTTTTACTTTCATAGATCACAATCTCGACACATCTTTGGATTTGCTGCAGTTTTGAGCAATAATAATAATTTTTGCCAGAATTCTTCATTTCCAGTAACAGCGGACGGTGTCGATCTATGTAGAGCCTCTGTTCCTTGCGACCTGCTCATTCTTCTTTCCTTGACCTTTCTTGTAATTTTACTTTGAACATGGAATCGAAGTGGATAACAATATTTTACTTTGCCGCTTCCTCTTTCTTGTGTGAACAGTCGTCTTTGAGGTGTCTTGACTCTTCAGTGGACAGGCATTGGTTACATGTCCCATACTCTGGCAGTGAAAGTAGCATCCAGGAGGTTGTTAAACATGAAGGGCTGCACCAACTGCATTTTGGCCTCAGCTCTCTTTGATCCGTGGGAGGATGTTGCGGTCTCTCTAGCTTCGCCTCGTGTGTCACATCTCTACCTGCGAGAGTGTTTGTTTGTTTAATTTCTGGTTTCAGAACTTGGGCTCTGTACTTTTCAAATGGTGAAATGCTCTTGTCGTGGTTGAATGAATAAGGAAGGGATAGGGCGCGAAGGGGAGGCGAAGGAGGCAATTGGAGTGGATTTTCGACAAGAGGAGATGGTTGCATGGCGCTTCGGTGAGAGCATTCGTAGATACACATACTTCGATTGATGATTCGCGTGTAATTGGGATAAAAACTGGTAGGCTGGTTGGAAAAGAGGATAGATTGGATATTTGAATTGTACGTATATAGAGCGGGGGATTGTGAAGAAGGGGGCGAGGACGCGTAATTGAATGGAGTGGGGTTTGGAGACGAAGTTAACGATGGCACCGAATTGGGCTGCCGTGTGGAGAATTCTCGTAATTCTTGTGATGCTGGCCGCTGTGAGTGCCGCGTGTATGCTCCTCCCTGTCGAGCAGGTGATTATTCTCACTATTTTGCGGATAATTGGGTTGATGATCAACATAAGGAAACTAAGGTCCCACATGGGTATTCGAATTTTATTTCCGAAGACTGTTTGTGGTCTATGATTACTTGTACGTCTAATTTGTGAACGATGTCTGGCCATATGATGTACAGGTACGTCGGGACGTCATACACATTTCACATGACATCGCTATGTGCTTGGAATAGCTACTCGCTTTTTAGATCGTTGGTGATTGCTGTCTGAACATGAGCAGATTGGCTGCCTGTCCTCCTCAAATGTTACTTAGACATGCATGGGTTTTAGATTGTTGCCTACCTACAGAATGGGTCCTGAGATTGACAACGTACAAGAGTTTTTGAATAGTCGAGTAGTTGTGGAATCAGTTTAGAGATAAATTTTTGCCAAACGTAGTTTCATGGAAAAGTTTCCTTGGTTGTGGTTTATCTTTAGCTTTGATTCGTTAGGGATGCCTTGAGTTTCAAAGCCTGATGATTAAGAAGAAGTTTGCTTGCTTTCCTGCACCCGTCAGTCCGATCAGTTGCATTGTCTGATGATAGACAACTTGGTGGCTCGCAGATGCTGAGAGAATTTATTATATGGGTTCAAAAAGATGTTGGCCCTTGGGGTCCCTTGATGCTGTAAGTGTTAAAATCTCCTTCCTGCAGAGTAGAAGGATGTTTGATCAAATGTGTATGATCTTTGCTATCTTAATTGCGCACGGTCCATATCAGTTATTACATCTCAATTACATTATCTGGAGGTGTGAGTGTCTTTGTGTTAGCTTCAATTGTTTCTTATCATCCTTGATCTTGAACTAAAACACGAGTCTAGAGTCATGCACTTTCTAAACTCAGCGTTTCTTTTCTGCAGAGCTTTGGCTTACATCCCGTGCACAGTTTTTGCCGTTCCAGCTTCTATACTTACGGTATATTTCTACAGCTAGCTCGTTCTTCTTCTAATTTAACTAATGAATCAATGAGTGGGTCACGATAAGCTACTTTCATGCCTTGTCGCTTGGTCAACTCCCCACAAATTTGACATTGCGAGGAGGACGTTGCTTTCAAATAGCCAAACTACTCGAGCATTGGTGTGACGAAGTGTCTACTCTTCTCACAGCTGTTGGAATGGTAATGTGCACAGCTTGGAGGTGGATACCTGTTTGGCCTATTTGTCGGGTTTATCACGGACTCCATCGGCTCCACACTCGGTGCTATAGCGGCGTTTCTCGTAGGAAGAACAGTGAGTTAATAGTCCTGGCAAAACGAGGAGGTTTGCTTCAAATGTTTCTTTAATGTCTACGAATGAATCAAGTAATTAAAACATGTAATTTGTGCATCAATCCTCATACTTACAGAGTACTGAACAATCTTGGAATTTACTTGTCGTGATTCTTACAACATTGGGTTTATGTTCAGGTTGGAAGATCATACGTAACTTCGAAGCTCAAGGATTACCCCCAATTTCAGGCCATTGCGATAGCAATTGAGAGATCAGGCTTTAAGGTTCTCCTCTCACTTGATGTCCAACTGAACACTTTCTCTGCCGTTGCCATTCTTTATACATTATTGAAAATCCTGCCAAATTAGCATTGTCCTCGTAATCTGATAGATATCATACCTCCACTTGCTCTGATGTCCTTACTAAGGTCAGGTGTAGAACTTATCTGGTGGTTGATACTCTCCTTTTCAACGCTTCAGCAGGGGCTTGTATACAAATGTTCTCTTTGTCTAAATCAAAGTTCAAATTATTTTGTAGATTGTCCTACTATTGCGCATGGTTCCCCTTCTGCCGTTCAACGTTTTGAACTATCTACTTTCTGTCACGCCCATGAGCGTCTACACCTACTCGCTTGCGTCATGGATTGGAATGATGGTGAGTTCTTCAACAACTCGTTAATACGTGCAAAGCCAGGAGGTGGGTGGGGGGCACAGGCTCGCCTGTGACCCCCACCCACCTATGTGAGACCTCTCTGCATCCTTTCTCATCAATCTATGGAGGGTCGGAAATACTCATGTTCCACAAGATGTAAAAAAATAGCATATTCGGTATCGTATGTTTGCCGGATCAGATATAGCAAGCCTTCATTTTTCATGAAGTTTTCTAACAAAATAATAATCAGCATTGGAGAGTGCGAGTTTTTCACCTTATAAAAATAACCCTAAAACCTAACTTTGAATTATGCAGATCCATCGTAACTGTAACAGTGCAATTTTTCTTTGGGAGCTCTCCCTCGTTATTAAAAGCTTACGACGGGGTGTAACGTTGAGCAGTTAAAACAAAAAATTGCGCTGAGATTCTAATTGTTGTTCAATCTCGCAGCCTTTGACTCTGATATTTGTGTATGTCGGGACAACAATCAAAGATATTACTGATATCAACCATGGGGGCCACTTTACTCCAGGTCGTTGGGTGCGTTTACTATCATTCACCTCACATTACCTGATATATCTTCAGCATTTATTACGTCACTGAAGTTTTTAAAATATTTTTTGAATTTGCCTAAATTCATCCACCCTTGCGCTGAGTTGAAGCTGCATATCCTAATCCTTGCAGTGTGTAAATCTTGTTTGCAGCTCATGATCTGTGCTGGCTTGGGAACAAGTGGTAAGCAAGACCGACTTTATTATTTGTCTAGTTGAATTTCTATTCGGACCTGGAACTTGGACATTATGCAAACATCTCTTCTAGATGTGGACTTTTTAGATGTATCCTACGCCGCGTATTAAATCTGAGGAAATATTTAAAATGAAAGGCGTCTTCAAGAATTACTCATTTTTTTTCCAAATTCCTTGCGATATGAAGTTTTGGGAACTTTAGTGAACCTGAGTATAAATCCCGTAAAAATACTGGAACCTAAGAATCCTTGGAATCCTAAGAGAAGGATGACCTCTTTTGCACCTTTACATTCTCATATCGATTCTGACTTGCATGTTTATGATGCTTGCCTTGCAGTTGTAGTTGTGATTCTGGTGACTCGAATAGCAAAAGATGCTCTTCAAAGAGCGGTAGAAGAGGCCGATGTCAAAGTGGATGAAATAATCGTTGCCTCCGATCCCTTGATCGCAGCAGATCCTTTCATGGAGCTACAGCAACCACTCGTGGTAAGAATTGACAACAAGGACAAGAATACACCTGATAACTCACCGGAACACCAGCCGTCTGTGTAATAGATTGTAATACGTAGGATGTTGTTATAGTGACGAGGAACGACCCCTTGTAAGATACAGACAAAATGCTAGATTATGTATATGGGGTTTGTTTGACAAATCAGTTTGAAACACATTGCTCTGTATATTGACACATAGTGAACTTTAGCTATCTAGTTTCAAGTAGGTGTTGGGTTGTAGTCAGTGTTACTTGACTCTCGAGCCAACTTGAAGTTTTCAGTTCGATGCTTTCACAGATGAAATAACTCTGTGCCATTCTTTTAGCAAAATGCTTTTTGCTCGATACGAAACCAGCGATGAGGAATCCCCAGTTTGATCATGGGCCACAATAGTGAATGAAAGTGGCCCTCATCTTTCATCTCAAAAGAAGGGAATGAATTAAAAGATCTCGAAGACCAAAAAAGTGGTCGAAGGGATTTCTCTTCTTATCGATGGTCTCTTAGCAACCATTTGCCGTTAACAATGTCTTGAGAGAGTGGCGGACGAAATCTTTGATTTGCTTCGTGTTCACGGACACTGCTTTCCACGACCGGTATATTGGTTGTAAGCCTTGCGTTGACATTTCTCTCTCCCTGCTGTGAACATGTTTTCTCTTGGATGCTTATCAGATTCCCTTCTAGATGAGATGTGTACTTCTGTTAAGGTATCAATGTTTGAATGGGCTTCGCAGACTTTAATGACCGGGGCCCTCCCTTGCAAACTCGAAACTGGTCTATCGAGGGGCCACAAGTGGAACATGTCATTTGGGAAATCAAGGCTCCACTGTGCTTAGATCTATTCTCCCCACTTCCTTTGATTTAGTGAGTATTGCACATAAGAAAGGTATGAAGAAAGCTTTTGATCTCCAATTTGTTCCATCTTCTCTACTTGCTCGAGAAAAGATTTAGTTTAGCAGAAGACCTTGAGATTTGCGTCGAAATCAATGGTAGCTGCGGATGAGGATCTACTACTATCCATGAGTTAACCTCGAGCATATGTACTATGCCCGCTTGTTATAAGTTATAAATTTTCGCATTGAGATGAATGTCTGTTCTCATATATCAGTACTAGAGTACTGTAGGTTCCGTTGTATGCCATTGATATACTTCAACAGGATTTAAGCAGGATGAGCTTCTTACAAGCCATTGGCCTTGTGCGATCTATCTGTTAATTGTTTATTCCATTCAATTACGGTCTACTCACATTTTTCGTCTTTTCGCTCAGTCAGTGGCTTTGGAAGTGTTTGCTCTGTTGTAACAGGGAACTGGCGCCATCTTTCGTGAGACTGAATTTTGCTCCTTTCTCAATTTAATGCTGGAAATTGGATTCTTGTCGTTCTGCATTGGATAATGATCTTTCTTTCTTGTCGAAGTATCATGCCTTGGAACACAAGCTTTACCCTGAGATTTTAAAGAAACTGAAACAGTTCAATACCACACTTGAGCGTAAGCTGACTTGTGTAAGGGGAATTAAGATATTTGATTTCCTAACATTTCTTAGATAATGTTGATCCAAAGGGTGTTATCACATCCATCACTCCGTAGTGTATTTGGAGACACATGGACAAACGAAACGTACGATCAGGTGTTACAGGATATATGATCCATAGTAGAAGTTGTAGAAAGTGAATGACATAAATGTGTGTTTTGAATATATTATTTCTGTTTGATAAGGGAATGCGGTAAGGAAATCAGCTTGCTTGAGACCATGGGTACGAAGCAATTCTGACTTTGTTTATAAGTCACGAACAGGGCATACTCAATCTAGATCTGAACTACTGCTGTGGACTCAAAACGACCGTCCTTCACTGCTTTGTATGCTTTGACGTGATTATCTTCTTTCACATTGTTTTATATCCTGGTCTAAGTTTCGATCTGAATGCCGCTGGAAATGTCGAGAATGAATTCTTTATTTGAATTTAAGAACTTCAATTGAAGTTTTAGGGAACAGAATGTAAGATGACAGATGTTTTCTAGTTAGTCTCATAGCTAGGAAGAGTGCAACAACAATGTTAAGTGCAATGATGGAGTGACAGCGAATTTTCGCGTTTCCATCTATACACTAAGTTGACAAACCAACTTCCAGCTACTACAACTTTATCTATCATTCTTGGTAAGTTAGTCCTGCCTTAAGTTAGTCCCACTAAAAGGCTTTTTGCATAAATTCATTTCTGTTATAGACTCTTTGGTGAATAATTTCATGTGTTTCATAGATAGACTAGAGGCGTTGCAATGCAAGTGCAACATCTGTACAACCATGACCAGAGTCTCAAATCTGCAAGTGCGTAGCCACAACGAGGGAGTGGAAAATCAAATTGGGATTTAAGGGACATAAAAAATCATTGCAGGACCCACAAGGTAAAGAATATGTTATAATTATGAACTTATACATTTGAATTTGAGCCTCCCTGATAAAATTCATGTACGGGATACGAAATCTAGGCAAAAGATTTTCAGTCTAAGAGGAAGTAGCATGTGCTTGTCTGTCTCTCACGAGACGTACTGATCATTCGAGCTATAATTCCGATCTCTCTTGGAGGATGTTTGGGATGCCAAGCAACATTAACTTTCATGCCTCTTTGATAATGATTGTAAGAAAATTTTTGTTGTAAATCCTACCCGAAGCGTAGCAAAGGTTAACAGACCTCAATTTTTGTATTCACTTAAACTTGTGCAGTTAGATATGTTTTCAAGTAGGAAGCCACATGTCAACATTTCCAACATTTCCACTTGTCAAGCAAGATTGTTGTATATTTTTCATAACTCTTTCATCATAAAGAATTCCACATTTCAAAACATAATGGTAAATTTTGAATCTAGACAGATGTACTCATATCATACTCAAAAAAGTAAAGACTTGATTCTCATGCTTATCAATTTTATTGATATCAGGAACTGAACTGGCTATAGTAATGACTAAAAGGAAAGCTATCTTTGTGATGATTAAAATTGATAGAAGATAATTTTAAAGACAAAAAGAATGATTGTATTTGACAAAAAGGTTTGTTGACGAGACAATGTTCGGGACGAGCTACGAATCTCACTCTTGGGTTTTTCCAATAACAGAATAAACTGAATTATCTAAAAAATCTCCCCATTGATTCATGTCATGTTATCTCTAGTTGACTCTTCAACTAGAGCCAACTAATTGTAATCCGTAGACAAATTTTGGGAGAAAGTAAAAATATAAAGAATTGACAAAAATTAATAGTAAAATCTACTTGTGCTCATCATGAGAAACATAGTAACACAATGTTTACAAAAAGTTTCTAAAGAAACAACTTTGATCACATCAAGTGAATTGACTTTATTGTAATTCTTGACTAGTTCAATTTGAGATTATATGTATGATACACTGATACCTGATGTTTCACTTTGCTATTTGTCTAGCTCAATCTTTTTATTTGAGATTATATGTATGATATAGTGATTCCTGATGTTTCACTTTGCTATTCATCATTTTTATTTGCAGCAAGATGTAACGCAATTTGACTATCACATTGAAGATTGACAACGTCATATTTTAATTTCATCTCAATGATAAATTTATTTTATCAAATAACTTTATTCGTTGCTTTTGTTGTAGTTACATATTCAATTTTGATTGTTTACCAAGCTACGCATTTATGAAATTAAATTTTCAAAAAATGCATCCATCCACAAGTGTAAACACATATCCAATTGTAAATTTACTTTTATTCACAATAAACATAATCTAGTCCAGCAAGGATTTGACGTTGTCTTATAAACCATCAAACTATATATCAAAATGCTGAGTATTCTTTGTATACATGAGAATTCATTTCACTGATTCTCAATGCAACTTTTCTAGATTTGGAATATATAAGTTTATCTTGATCATAAGTAGAGCAATATCATGCCTTGTGCACACTATCAAATACATGAGACTAATCACAGCTTTTTTATATAGAATTAATTATATCTATCTTTTTCATTGTCATGCGTAGTATATTGAGCTACAATATGTTTGAATGTGTTGACAAAGAAGTGCATTTTTCCTTGCAGTACGTCATGTTAAACCTTTCAAGCACAAATTCAATGATCTGCTTGTATCAAGCATAAATTTTTTAATTCAAAATTTTTTTGTGAATATTTACCTTTAAAATTCACTTCAACATATTCAAATTTTTCATATGTTTTGAACTAGTTTTAAAATCTGTTGAATTTGTATTGATTTTCATCAAGATGAGCATGTCATCCACAAAAAATACTGAAGTCACGAGATTGAAAATTTCATTAGTCACATTCTTCATATACACATATGATTGTACATATTCCTTGTAAGTTTTTTGTGCTTTCATTAACTCATCAAATCTTGCATATTATATATAAACCCATAAATCTAAACCTAAGAGCTTGCTTTGATCCATATAATGATTTCAGCAATTCACAAATCAATCTTTTGTCATTTTTTTTATCAAAATCAAATAATTGTCTCAAATAGAAAATTTCCTTGTATAATTCACAGAGAAATTGTAACCATCTTTAGTTAGTTGGAACTAAAGTAGAGGTTACTCTTAATATTGACATAGATACTTTAGTGTGCACTATTCATAGCTGCCACGTCAGCGATCCGCGCACTTGGTAGGTATAGAGTGGATGTGTTAGTTGACAGTGTCATGTCAGCAATCCGTGTGCTTGTAGGTAAGGATTGAGTGTTAGTTAGTTGAAAGCGCCACGTCAGCAATCCGTGTGCTTGTTAGGGTTATCCACCACGTCATCCATCCACTAGGAGTGGTATGGATGGTGGGGATAAGATCTCATCTCCTTGTTCTTGCTCGTGAGAGCTATATAAGGGAGAGAAGAACCATTGTTGGTATCTCTCATTTTCAGAGTTTACGTTTCTATCTTCGAGTGAACTTCTCTCTAAACCCTAGAGTTACAATGGTATCAGAGCAACCTTGCTCTTTCCTTGAGTGTGGATTACCCCTCATGGAATAGCAAGTGAGTGATGATGGAGTGCAGTTTTGAGAGTGTATAGAGGTTGGCAGAGGTCATTCATTTGCATGTAAAGAGAGGTGGAAGGGGGAAATTGTGGTTTTGCAGAAATGGACGGGAGTGAAAGGAATCCAGTACTGCACTGGCCAATTCCTAACCTATTTGATATTCACCTTCGTTGCATGGAGAACCATCATTTTTGGATGTACCTTGTGCCTTGTTGGTGTGCAGATTTTATGACTAGAGTGATGGAATCGAGAATGCTACTGATTCTTCTAATAGTTACTTATGGAGAGACTTGGTATTGTACTATATACATTCTATACTGAATGTTTCATGGATTTGAATTGCGAATCACTTGTCCCGGTTCGGTTCAGCACTTATGTAGATATTAGAACAGTATATCGTCAGAAGAGGATATGGAGAGATTTTCTTGTGAGGAATTATGGAGAGGAGTACTATAGAACTGTGATAGAATCACCTGCACCTTTTGTGATTCCTTTGTTGAGAGTTCACAAGGTGATTATACTCACTTTGTATTAGAGGGAGTGTGAGAAAGCATGGGGACATCAATCAATATGG